CCATCCACCCACCCAGCCATCCATCCACTCATTCATCCATCCACCCATCCATCCATCTACTCATCCATTCATCCATCCATTCATCCACCCAGCCAGCCATCCATCCACTCATTCATCCATCCACCCAGCCATCCATCCACTCATCCATCCATCCATCCACCCACCCATCCATCCATCATTCATGCACCCATCCATCCATCCACATAGATGTTAATTCATCATGCAAACATCTATCCATCCAACCCTCCCTCCCTCCCTCCATTCATCTGTCCCTTCACTCATCCAGCCTTCCATCCCTCCATCCCTCCATCCCACACATGCAACCATACATGCATACAAACATTCTCTGTGTCTCACCCCACTTCCCAGTCCAAAGTAGACTTTGCCATCGCTGCTTCTCACAGAAGAATGTTGCTCCTTCTTCCTAGTAGTTTCATAGGGTGTCACTGAAGGGGTATTTTCTGATGTCTCCCTGACCAACCACAAGCTCCATGAAGGCAGGAACCAGGTCTTTCTCCAGAGCCTCCCAGAGAGCATGCCTGAGCCATAGTTGGAGCTCAATAAAGACTCATTGTGTGATGGTGTCTGGCAAATTTAGAGGAAACCTGCCTCGTTCAGATCTTGGAGCCAGATGTCTTAGGGATTTTCTCATGAATATAACTAAATATACTCTTGAAACTCTCAGTGTAGTAAAGAGAGACAGAGGTTGTACATGAGGAATCTTAATGCAAGGTATGAGTCATGGAAGGGAATAAAAGGGAGGGCCAGGTCTGCACACTGGCCTGGCCCAGCCCTAGCTATTTAACATTGGATCAGCTGCTCTATCTCCATGAGTGTTAATTTCCTCACTGACGAAATGGAGCTAATAAACCGAGAGAGAAGAGAAAGAAACACTATTACCATGAAATTGCTTTAAATTGTTCAAATATATCTTCTGAGTGCTGCGAAGTTTTTTAAATAGATAAAATGATTCTAAGAACTGAAATAAAAGTGATATTGATATAATGCTTATAGACAGAACCAAGTAACAGAAATTAATAAACATCTTAAAATGCGTATTTATTAAAGTTGAACTTGGCATGCTATTCTGAGAATGGAATGAGACAGTATACATGCAATCCACCGGAATCTGACAGAGGGTCAGTACCCACAGTCTTGGGCCTTCGTTTAAACCGTGAAAAAATGTATGGGATTCCAGTATTTTAACATTACAAATATTAGGTATGATTTTTGAACTTTAATGTCCTCTTCCAGCTTCTGTGACTACAGAACAAAGTCCCAGAAAGCACAATAGGGCACAGAAATCATGCATTATGCTTACAGACTCTGTCAGTCTCGAATCTGGATAGAGCTCAGGAAGAATGGCTTCATTCTGCTCTGCAATGACTAAAGTATCAGCTGGAAGTCTCAAGGACGGGGGGCTGAAATCATCGGAGGGATCACACGTTCATCTGCATGTCCAGTGGAGATGCTGGCTCTATCTGGGGACCTCAGTTCCTACTGGTCATTCCTCTGTCTGGGTAGATGAGATTGGACTTCCTTACAAGATGGTGGCTAGATTCCAAGCAGGAGCATCTGGACAGGGAGAGCCAGGTGGAAGCTGCATCCTTTTGATGATGGAGTCAGAAAAGTCATAGAGCCTCACTTGCGGTATATCTTCCTGGGGGTTTAATCACAAACCCTCCAGATGCAAGGGGCCCCACCTCTTTGGGAAAGAAGAATCAATCACACTGAAAAAAATTTTCTCATGTAATGCTGACTACAACCTATGAGGAAGGTCTTCTTAATTCCATTTTACAGAACAGGAAAGTAAAGCTGTTAGGGTCGGAAGTTTTGTCTAAGGTTGTACCTAACAAGCAACAGGAATAGGATTTTTCACAGGTCTCAATGACACCAACACCCCAACACCACTGCCACTGTGTTGACTGTGTTCACTGCCTGCCAAGTCTAGAGCAAGTCTAGAGCCGGGAGACTTTATTTCTTAATCCTCGTAATTGATTTAATTGACATCCCTCCAGGAGACCATTGAATCATGGGGCTTTGGTGAGTCTTGTCTTGTTCTGGTGACATTCCAGGCTAAGGCTACAAACAAAGGTGAACCTGGCATGAGGTCAGAAGCGGCTGTCAGTAACACAGCATGACAGGAGGAAACCTGATGTGATGTAGAAGTTAAGAGGGAAAAGGTGTTGGAGTCCAGGCAAGAGCAGACATGAGTCTTTGAAGAGACAGTGGCCAAAACCATTACATTTGATGAGGCTGCCAAAGAGGATAATGTGTCTGAGAAGAGAATTAGCCCAGGGCTTTGAAAATGTGAGTACAGGCCTTCAGTTCTGAGATGGCAGTGCGAGACAGAAGCCTGGGGGACTGCCAATCAGGAGCTCCAAGATGTGCGTGGAAGCAGAGCCCTAGGGAGGGAAGAAGGGCAGGGCCACCCTGTGAGAGGAAAGGAAAGTCCCCACGGAAGTTCAGGCCAGATTGGACTTCCTCACAATATGGCGGCTCAGTTCCCTGCAGGAGCCAGGTAGACGCTGTATCCTTTTGATGACCTGGCCCCAAAGTCACAGAACATCACTTACAGACTATTCTGCCGATGGAGTCATCACAAATCCCCCAGATTCAAGGGGGATAGCCACAGGGGATGGTTTTGAGTGTTAGAACCACTGGCTTAGCCCAGACAGTAGATCTCGACATTGGCACACTTTGGGACTCCCCAAGCAGCTCCAGAACACTGATGCCTGCCCCACCCCCAAAGTCTCTTCCCCTTGGAAATATGAAAGGCCACCCTTCAGGGGTTCTCAGGTGCAGCCAACACCTTAGAGAACTTGGAGAAGGAAGGGGAGAAGAAGCAGCGGTGTCCAGGATACAATAATTGAGAATAGTCAAAGTGAGGAGACCCCAGGGCTTCATAGCTGGTCCCCGTGGTCAGGGAGGGACTGGGTGGTCCACAGGGAAACCAAAGCAAGGTTTCTATGCTTCAGCTGACTGCATGTAGGAACCCCAGTGGGCAACCCACACCCCTTCCCAATGAAATCAGAGCCCGAGGGTAAGACCCCGCCATCAGCACTTTTAACTGCAGGTGGTGCTGACAGAGAGGCAGCCAGTTTGAGGACCAGCATCGCCCTCATGCTTGTGCAGGTTCTGACTCAGGACGTTGGGGTGGGGCCCGAGAGTCTGCATTTCTAACAGCCCAGCTGCTGGCCACGGACACACTTTGAGTGGCGAGGATGCACGTTAGTTTTCAAGGGCCGTGGTGGTAAGCGCAGCACACTTTCCCACAGCTCAAACCTCTGCTTGGGGAACCGGACCCCATCCTGATCCCAGCGGACTGCTGGGCTGGCGGAAGTGCATGCACGAGCTCTCTGCTCCCTCCTGGCTCAGCGCTGAGCTAAAGATCCCCTCCATGTGTGCCATGGGTGGGTGTGTCCTAAAAAGAGCAGTGTGGTGTTGGCGTTCACACACAGGTGCAGAGGCACCCCTCCCACCCAAGCGGGAGTCCCCCCTCCACAGCGCTCTGAGCGTCCACCCGCTCCAGCCGGCCTGCCCCTCCCTCCTCCCGGTGGCATGACACCCCGCCTCCCAGCGCCAACCCTCCTGCCTGTCACTACGCAAGGGGGCACAGCTCTGCCTGGCTCCAGAGTCCAGGTCTGACCTCAAATTCCGCCTCAGCCCTGAACCTCTCTCAGTCCGGGTGGGCCGAGTTTCCTTTGTAAAGTAAGGACCAGCCTCTCGTGGCTGTCGGCCAAGCGGTCAGTCCATAGCTACATGGAAGTAAATGGCCGTGGAGCCCCATAGCAGAAGCAGGGTTTGTGCAGGGATGGGGTCCTAGGGTGCCGTCTGTCCCCCTCTGCTGTCACTGTTCCAACCTAGAGCGGGGAATTCTCTGCAGTGACCTCCAGGCAGCCCCTGACCCCCACTTCTGCTCTTCTCTTCCGCAGATATGGGGAGCTTTGAGGAGGGGGAGAAGCGCCAGAGTGTCTCCCACGGAGAAGCTGCCGTCATCCGGGCCCCACGCGTCTCCAGCTTCCCCCGGCCGCAGGTGACCTGGTTCCGGGACGGCCGCAAGATCCCACCCAGCAGCCGCATGTGAGCCCCATGCCCGGGGGGCGGTGAGGAGGGGCTTCCCTGGGGAGGATGCTTGCGGCCCTCCCCGGGCCTCCCAGGTGGGGGGAGTCTGGCTCACGGGGGGGGCTCTCTGGGAAGGTGCGTCTGAGGCTCGGAACCCTGATAGCGCTTTCCTGGGGCGCCCCGGGGCCTTGGCTCTGCTCTCAGCTGGAGCATGAGGGGTCTCCAGGAGCACTTAAAAAACCCAGACAGCAGGCACAGACAGAAGCGCCATCGCCATGGTTACAGGCCCCGGGCTCCGGCCAGGTCGGCCCACCCGCGGATGTGGTTGGAGCTGGCTGGAGCTGGCATCTCCTGCAGCAGGGTGCCGCTGCTGTCTCCGGTTCTCTGCCGTGTCCAGGGGGTCCGTGACGACCTGGCCTCTGTGTATTTTGGCCACGGGGAGGAGGTGTGACCAGGGAGGTCTGGCAGGGAGAGGAACACATGGCCCTTTCAGTGCTAACAAGGGCCCCTTGTGTGCCCTGGCATCAGGCCTGGCAGCCTGGCTTGCAGGCAGGAGCCTTCGAGCCAACGCCTCCACCGAGGGCAGGGCGAGGGGCAAAGCATTTCCTCCTGGACACACCCTGGCTCCACCCCCGGGGGCTGGCCCCCGCCCAGTCTTGCCCATTTCCACCGCACTCGACTGTCCGCTGCTCCCAGAGGACAGAACACCCTCGTTCTGGTCGCCCGTGTCCAGTCTGCTCATGGCAGGGAGAGCCGGGTCTAGTCTCCATAGGAAGCAGGAGCCGGGGTGCACGGGTCTCGCCTTGGGGGGCCGGGAAGCGCTGTGATAGCAGCAGCCCCCCGCCAGCTGGTGGCGTTAATTCAGCCCTGGGCTCCGTGCACATCCCCGGGGGCTCCTGCAGGGCAGAAGTCCTTCTGCAAAGAAGAGACACCCCCTCTTCCGTCCCCTGCGCACAGCTCGGAACATGATGCAGTGTGAATGACCCCCCCTGCACTCCTTGGGGCCGCAGCTTTTGTCCCCACTTTGTGGGCAGCAAAGCGAAACCCCCGAGTTTACCGACTTGGCCCGATCGCACCCAAGCGTGCAGCCTCGCTGACGAGTCAGCCACCCTAGGTGTCTGTAACGCCACCCCAGGTGGAAATGATGCAGGGTCGGGCACTAGGGCGGCGGGGCCGCGGGGCCGGGGGCCGGGTGGGGGTGCAGTGAGAACTGGGCGTGGAGCCGCGGCCCCCACCTGGCGCCCTGAGCTCATTCAGGGCTGCGTCAGGTAAGTTGATCTTTCGGTTCCACTCCCCTCTCACTGACTTCCCAGAGCAGGGTGCGATCTTGGCACCAGGGTTTCTAGAAGTGCCACAATGACCCTACAGGCGAGCGAGCGTAGGTGAGAACCACCGTCCTTGAACGTGTCAGCCTAACCCGGCTCGGCTCGGCTCGCAGTAACCTGAAACGTCAGCCTGTGCTTGTTCTGTGGCGCTGCAAGGCGGGGTCTCCCCGGTGCGGGCGTGGCTGGCTCATGGACCACGAAGGACTGGCTGGCTCAGCTCCTCTGCTCCCTCCTCCAGCCAGGAGCCCTAGATCGGGAATTGCAGCAGAGGAAGTGGAGAGTTTCCAGACTCTGCTGACACCCACGGACCACAGGCATCACATGGCGGAGGTCAGATCCGTGACAGGGACAGTGACACCGCCCCTCGAGTGAGGGGACCCGCAGTCACAGGGCAGAGGATGTGGGTGTGGATCTGGGGAGAACCGAGGGGACCAGGTCCACGCAGGAGAAGGCTTCCGGGCAGCCTGAGGCAGGTATCGGTGCCCAGCAAGGCACCCCTTCCTCTCTCTCCTGAGGTGCTCTCCCCCATCCTAGAGGTAGCCATGCCCACATCCAGGTGGTCAGCAGTGGCTGCCCGTGACCACCTCCAGCCTCGATGGGAAGCAGGACCGGCGCCAGCCAGCAACCTCTGACCCAGCTGTGGGAGGGCATGTGGGCACCGGCCCCGGGCACGAAGTCCTTTCTCCCACGCGCTCCCACCATCCCTTCCGGCCCAGCCCCCCTTCTAGTCACTCCTGAGCCCCCCTCCCCCAACCCCGTCTGTCCCCCAAAGCCTCTGGCACCAGGACAGAATAATCCCCGGGTGCACACAGGCGCCCTTCACAGCCACCCACCCTCCGCCCACCCTCCAGCACTGATACCAAACACTAGACAGAACACTGGGGATTTTATCTCAGCAATTATAGCAGATTAATATTCAGATCTGAGAGGGAAGGTCCCTGGAAGCCAAATCTCTGATGTCTGCTTGCCAGAGATAGGGATCTCAGCCAGCAGGGGCTGGGGGTCCTATCTGCAAAGCTGCTGGGCAGAAACAGGATTAGCAAACCCCCCACCCCCAACACACACTGCCCTGCTGCTCACTGTTGAAAGAGACAAGCTCCCAGGCCCGCCACCCCTCCCTTTCTTCTCCATGAAGTTATCTGGGCCCCCTCGGCGCCCAGAGAGGGGGCTGTCTTAATCCGTGCCGGAGGGGCGGGAGGGCTGATATGCTGGCCCAGCCCTGCCTTCGAGTTGAGCCGCCGTCCACGCCCACCAGGCCTCCCCGCGGCCTCCCATGGACGCCTCTGCTGCAGCAGGCCGGAGGTCCTCCCGGCTGCCAGAGCAGCTTTGTGTTCTCTGGAAGCGACGCGTGGGTTTTTCCAGGACCATCTCGCCAGGAGATGGACATCCCGAGGAAGGGGACAAGCCGCAGACCTCCCTTAGGCCAGCTGGGGCCAGGGGCAGCTGAGAGCCCTGCCATCTCTCAGGCCCGGCCACTGCGTCCTGGCCCAGCACGCCTCCCCGGGACTGATGGAGGTGGTGCTCGCTGAGTGACAGACAGATGCAGGCGTGTATTTCTCGCTCATTTGAAGCCCACCGGTCACTCAGGACCTGGCTGCTGGGAGCTCTGCTGCCCCGCACCCCGGCTCCCGATGTACCTGCTTGCTGGGGAGAGAGCAAGTGGGGTCCGGCGGGGGCCCCTACAGCCCAAGAGCAGACTGTGTTCTGCCCTCCTCCTCTGAAGCGGCTCTGCCCTGTGCCACCTGGATGCCAGGCGCTGGCAGAGTGGTCCTGACTCCCCAGCACACTTTGGAAGGGGACCGTGAAGCTGAGGGGACCAGCTGGCCACGTCCACCACCAGACAGGCCACCCAGCCGGGGGCAGTTTTCTTGGCACGATGGTCAGCCTGACCATCCCCTTTGAACTGGCCGGCGCCCTGACAGTGCCCCGACTTCTCCCTACCTACACACCCCCTTGCCTGACAGTGGACACCGGCCCAGACGTTGCCATCTGTCCCCTGGAGGGCAGAGCCGCCCTGCTTGAGCGCCACTGACAGAGACTCGCTAGAGGAATGAGCCTGCCTGTCGCCAGGGAGGTGCTGGAGGTGGGAGCGTCCTGGGAGGCCAGAGGGCTCAGGACAGGCCAGAGAGCCAGGGAGCGGGCAGGCATGCCCGCGCGCTCCGCTCCACCACCCTCCTACCACGAGTGGCCAGGCAGCTGCCAGGGCATGGCTGGGTATCCTCTGAGCTGGAACTCGGACTGTGCCCCAAGGAGCCCTTGGGGGGCCTCAGCGCCAGGGCAGACGGTCAGCACTGGGAGGGGCCGAGGCAAACACCTGCTCCCACCCCGGCACAGATGAGGACACTGAGGCCCTGCGGAGAGGACACCGGGGCGCGGGGTGGGGGGCCGGAGCTCACCCCGCCAGCCTCTGTCCCCCAGCTCTTGCCCACCCCCACCAGCGACACTAAGGGATAAGGGCCCTGCCAGGGACTCCCAGGTCAGGCAAGATCTGTCACCATCGCTGCCGCATTTTGTCACGTTTAAAGATATTTTAGCTCGGTTCTACGTCCTGTCACCTCATTAACTGGAGGTGAAAATAGCGCTCCAGGAGAAAAAAAAGCACACACAGCAGCACCCAAGAACTGGGAGCAGCAGGCCTCGCCTTCCCACAGCACCTTGCACCAGGGCCCAGACCCGGGGAGGGAGCCGGGACACCCCGGTGGGGAGGGAGCGGGCTGGAGACCCGTTAGTTAGCGGATGTTTATCTGAGAGCCTGTTTAAAACGGCAACATTCACCTAATGGGAAAATTTGAAAAGAATTCAACTGGATTTGTCCTTGTTAAACTAACATTAAGGATGTTTAACAGCTGTCTCGGGCGCATCACATTAAAATTGGAGATACACTTGACAAACTAATGGTTTTGTTTGTCGTGGGGAGAAAGGGCGAAGGAGGAGGGGGCCCCCCCAGGCCTGCCTACCGGATGCAAGTGTCTGCCCACAAGCCCCTTTTCCTGCCTGCACCCGGTCTGCCGGGGTCCCAGTAGGGACCCCGGTTGTGAGCTGGCAGCCCCTGTCTGCACCCCGCTGCCTGGCCAGGCTCTCTCCCTCCCAGCCAGCCCAGTGGAATCCACTCCCCACCAGAGAACGTGAAGCAGACACCCTAAGAGGGGGGCGGAGGGAGAGCTGCACCCCAGAAGTCTGTCACGGCCGCCTGTGGCCTCCAGTCAGCCTAGACATGCCTAGCAGTAGGTTAGCTCGCTGATTCGGGAGTGGCCCTGCCCGCCCTCACCCCCAGCGTCCCCGCCACTTGCTGACCGTTCACCCCGAGCCACTGGCTCGCGTCTGGGCGCTCCTGGCATCCACACAAGCAGAGACCCACTGTGGAAGCCGGGACGCGGGAAGGGCCGGGATCCCCGGCGTGGGCCCCCGCCGGGCACGGGTGGGGCAGGGAGCCGCCTGTGTGCGCTGCTGGGGCCTGAGCCCCTGGGGTTCTCTGCGGAGGACTGCAGTGGAGGGGCTCGGGGGCAGCCGGGAGGCCGGGCTGTGTCCCTGCCCGACGGCCGTCTGCCCGGAGCCCCGGGCCCCGTCGGAGAAGTCCTTCCCTCTTCACAGAGCCATCACCCTGGAGAACACCCTGGTCATCCTGTCCACCGTGGCCCCCGACGCCGGCCGCTACTACGTGCAGGCAGTCAACGACAAGAACGGAGACAACAAGACCAGCCAGCCCATCACTCTCGCCGTGGACAGTGAGTGAGCCGCGGGCCGGCCTGTCCGTGCGCCATTAAATCTCGGGGATGGGACTCCGGGGGCCATTGGGAAGACGGTGGCGGGGAGGGGGCGGCTGGGGGCGGCCTCCAGGGAGGAGGCGCCCGGCGGGGCCGGGGTGTGCGGGCAAAGGGCGGGAGGGCCCTGTGTTAGGAGGGGGCACTGAGTGCAACTGCTGGCGCCCGATGCCAGGAGGGGGGCGGACGGGGAGAGAGTGGGTGAGGGGCTCAGCCCTTCCCCGGGTGCAGGTGCCAGCGGGAGCGCTGGCAGATTTGGGGCAGCCAGGTTTGAGTGCCAACTGCCTCTGCCCGGCCAGCACACAAAAACCACAGCGTCTCCTGGGGGTTCTGCAGGCCCCCCACTGAGGAGAGCACAGCCAGGCTGCCCCCAAGGGCCCCCTTGGCCATCCCAGGCCCCCGGGACAGAGCTGTCTCCATGCAGGGCGCAGAAATAGCAGATCTAGAGTCAGGCTCGAGCCTCCTTTGGCCAAGAGGTGTTTGTCCAGGTTTCTGATGCGGAAGGAAAATGTTAGGGAGGAGCTTCTCCCTCACAGCCCCTCTCCAGTTAGAGAAGGGGTGAGGTGGCCCCGGGCGGGCCCTCTGGGGGTCAGAAGCTCCCAGGCAGGGCCTGAGCCCCCCGCAGGACCCAGCAGGCGGGGCCACATGTCTCGGGTTCCATGTCACCCCGTGCTTAAGGTGTGGGTCAGAGGGCCTCTGTCCTTCCGCTGTCCCCCACTCTGGGGTGGCCGCAAAGTGTGGCTGCAGGGAGGCCTCCAGGCCGGACACTGCCCTCTCGGCACGTGGATCAGCTCTGACGGTGACCTGGGCCAGGGTCTCGCTCTAGTCCAGCCCGTGAGCTTGCGCTGCCGTTTCCGTTAGGGGCTGGAGCATCCGAGTCTCTCTGCTTGTTTCTCCGGAGCCCAGTGAAAGGCGGTCACGTCGTGCCAAGCCAGGCGTCCTCCTGGGCGACTCAGTTCACCCTGCAGCCAGAGGTCCGAGCCCTCTGCTCTGGGCTCCTCCCCGCCCTCCTCCTCCCCGCTACTCTCCTGGCTGAGTGTGGGGTCATTCATTCTCTGCTCCACATCAACCCCCCAACACTCCGGCCGGCCCAGGCGAGACTGGCCTGGCCCTGGGGACCCCCGCGCCTGCCCGATCCTCCCCTGGTTGTCTGCTGCCCCACCACCATTGCTCTCCGCGACCCCTCATCACCTCTTCTCACGCAGTGATTTGTTCTGATTGACAGCAGAAACGCCGCTTTTTGGCGGATTTCTCCTCCCCGAGTGACTGCTTCAAACCCCCGTTCCTGTCCTGACGTAAATCCCTGCCGGCCGGCCGTGTGTGGGAGAAGGTGTCTTCCGCCCCCCACAGCCCTCTCCGCTCTCCTCCCTGCAGAACAGTTCAGCTCCTTGGAGGTGGGGGGCGGAGGGGCGCCCCTGCTTTCCTTCAAGCAGCCCCACCAGGCGCCCCTGCCCAGGGCCAGCGTGGGGACCTCACAGGGAGCCCCCTGCCCCAGGCCGGAAAGGAGCCACCATAGCTCTTTAGAGAAGGAAGGAGAAATAGGTGAGGTTGATTTCCTTGCTGTATTTTTAAACCCTACGCATCCGGAACATTACACCTGAACGTACAGCCTCGGAAATCTTAATGAGGTGTCTGAGGCTGGGCTCTTCACCCCAACTCCTGGAACCCGTCAGTACCTACTGCTCGTGCCAATTTGGGTGCCAGGTTTTCACTGAGGTGACGTGATCTGTGTTTAGATCTCTCCGAAGTTACACTGAAAAGGGACAGCCTGTGCTCACCTGCGCCACTCGACCCCAAGTGTTCTAGTCACTGACTTGGGGGCCTGTTTCGTCTTTAATGGAATGTAAATTAGTTCCCATTAAGTCCCACTCAGTCAAAAGGGCAAAAGGGCACCAGCCACGTTTCAGGAGATCAGATTTACCTGTGGTTTGTGCCCAGGGAGGGGATGGGTCGGCCCTAGGGCCCCTCAGACACTGGAAACTGCCCAGGGCTCACCTGCCCAAGGCTCACCTGCCCAGGGCTCACCTGCCCAGGGCTTGCCTGCCCAGGGCTCACCTGCCCAGGGCTCACCTGCCCAGGGCTCACCTACCCAGGGCTCACCTTCCCAGGGCTCACCGGTTCAGGGCTCACCT